AATAAAACTTAATAAAGAATACCTCTGAAGAAAAGAGAAGCTGAAATAAAAATCCAAATTAAAAACTTGGAAAATAAAGCAAAATGATCATAGGAAAGCCTTACCAATAGATTAGGCAAAGTTAAATATAGAATATCAGATGTTTAGACACAGGAGAAGAGATGGGTCATCCCATCAAAAACGTGTTAAATCTTCAAACAAACAGAAAACCTAGAATGTGGCATGGCAGAGGGATAGATGTCCTCCTTGCCTTTGCAGCTTGGGGCCAGCAAGAGAGCTAACCTTGAGATCATGAGAGTAGGAGAGCTAACCTTTCCCCTACCAGCTGCAGCAGGCCCTGTACCTTGCCTGGGCAGGACTATAAAGCTGGCTGTGTTGGCAAAGGGTCAAGTAAGCCACCCCTAGAACATGAGGTCAGGAGAGCTGAGCCTGCCATTGGATTACTGCAGCATTGAGTGAGCTAGCCCTGGTGGTGTAGGTACAGGTGAGCTGGCAAGTTGATCAGCTCAGCTACCTCCCAGGCCCATATCCAGGGTTTTGAGTTGGGCCACCCCAACATTTACTTCATCTATGATATGTAGAGTGAGGGAAAAGAATGGACTTGCAGATCCAAAAATGAAGGATCCCCATGACACAGGGCAACAACAGGATATCTGAGGGAAGTCCTGGTGAGGATCCAGTATTGATGGTGTAGCAGAAGCCAGAGGCTGCACAATAGACCAATGACTCACAGTAATGAACATTTGTTAGTAAGGGTGTCTGGACAAAAGGGAATACTGTGGGACACACTGTGACACACTACAGCTTTCATGACAAGCTTTATTTTTAATTCTATCTTGTCTTAGTTAGGGTTTCCATTGTTATAAAGAGACACCATGACCAAACCAACTTGTATAAAGAACATTTAATTGGGGCTGGCTAACAGGTTCTGAGGTTCAGTTCATTATCATCATGGCAGGAAGAATGGCAGCATCCAAGCAGGCATAGCACTAGAGGAGTTGACATATTGTTCTGAAGGCAAACAGGAAAAGACTGGCTTCCAGGCAGCTAGGAGGAAGGTCTCTCAAAGCCCTCCCCCACAGTGACACACTTCCTCTACCAAAGCCATACCTACTCCAACAAGGCCACACTTCTAATAGTGCTACTCCCTGAGCCAAGCATATATTCAAACCATCACATATCTTCTTTTCTTTTGAGGAGGAGGTTGCAAGGATAGAGAGTGGATACAAGGGACAGAGAGATGAGTAGGAGTGGGGTGCATGATATGAAATTCACAAAGAATCAATAAAAAGTTTTAAAAAACAGAAAAATCAAAATCAGGATTGAAATTAATGAAATGGAAATGAAAAGAACAATCAGAAAAGTGACTGGAATAGTTATTTGAAAAGATTAACAAAATTGACAAACTTTAGCCAACTTAATCAAAAGAATCAAATTCATAAAACCAGAGACTGAAAGACAAATATTACAATAGATATTGAGGAAATTCAACCTTCAAAATCTATCTTACTAAAATGAAAGAAAAGAAATAGATACATTTTACATGTATATGTATATGTATATGTATATGTATATACTCTACAAAAATGAAATCAAGATGCAGCAATTTAAATAGACATGTAACGACCAATGAGATAGAAGCAGTAATTAAAAGTATACAACTGAAAAAGCCCAGGGCCACGTGGATAAAAAAAAGCAGAATTCTACCAGATCTTCAAAGAAGAACTAACAACACTCACATTATTCCATAAAATATAAAAAAGCAATTTAAATGAATCTTAAGACAGGATTTTAAAATAGCAATTATGACTATGTCCCTAGACCTTAAAAAGAATATGAATAAATGCCAGAATAAAAACTATAAAAATGCAAACAGTTAAATAAAATAATAAAATACAAGTGAAATATGAACACAGAATTAGAATTGCTAAAGAAAATCCAAACTGGAATAAAACAGGAAACACTCAGGAAGTAAGAACACACACTCAAAAAAAAAAAAAAAAGACCCACCCACAGATTAAAAGACATGGAAGAGAGAATTTCAGGCCTTGAAGACAGGAGAAGAAATGGATAAATCAGTCACAGAAAATGTAAATCTATACAACCACAACAACAGTAAAATCTAGATACAAAACATGGAGGAAATCTGGTACACTATGAAAGGACCAAACATATAAATAATAGATACAGAAGAAAAGAGACCTACCTAGGTCAAAGGCATGGAAAATAAAGTCATAAAAGAAAAATTCCCAAATCTAAATAAAGAGATGCCTATCAAGGTGCAGGAGACTACAGAACACCAAATAGACAGGGCCAGAAAAGAAACTCCCTATGATAGACGATAATCACCTGCAAGGGGAAAAGCACAAGTCACAGAAAGGCCGGCCTGTCACAATAGCACCTGGCTTTTCAGTGAAGACTGTGCAAGCTGGAAGGGCTTGGACAGATGTTTCACAATCTCTAAGAGACCACATGCCAGCCCAGACTACTACACCCATCAGAACTTCCAATCACAATGGAAGGAGAAAAAACAAAATTTCATGACAAAAACCCATTTGAACAACTTCTGTCCAACAATCTATCTCTATAGACAATGTTAGAAGGAATAATTCAGTCTGAAGAGAAGATCAACTACACTCAAACACAATCAATCCCAGAACAGTTAACCAAAAGAGGTCTCAAACAAACAACAGAACAGGAATTAATAAGCACTACTGAATGAGAACTCTCAGTGTTACTGGTCTCAACTTCTCAATTAAAAAGAAAAATATACAGACTAGCAGACAGGATTAGAAACAGAATCCACCTTTCTGCTGCTTCTAAGAAACAGCAAATGATCAAGGACAGAAACCATCCTAAGGTAAAAGGATGGAAAAAGGTATTCCAAAAAAAAAAAAACAAAACAAAACCAAGAAGTTAAAGCCACATAGCAATGTAGTATCTGGCAAAAATAGATTTCAAAACAAAATTAATCAGAAGATAGGGAAGAACACTACACACACTACTGAAAAGAAAGTTTACCATGAGATATTACAACTCTAAACATTTATTCACAAAACTTCCATTTCATAAAACAAGCACTACTATATCTAACCACACATTGGTGTCCATCTCACCAGTAGACAAATTATCGAAGCAAAAATTAAATAAGGAAACTGGAATTAAAACTGGATAATATCATAAAACAAATGGGTCTATAAGGCATCTACAGAACACTATACCTACACACTAACAGATCCACATTTGTCTCAGGAGCTCATAGAATCTTCTCCAAAACTGACCACATGCTAGGATACAAAGCAAGACTCAATACAGGAAAAGTTGAAAAAAGTCCTATATCAATCTGACAACAGAAAGTATGCAAACTCATGGGAACTAAACAACTCACTACTGAATGAAAATTAAGACTGGAATCAATAAACAAAATTAAAAACGTTTTAGCTTTGTTTTCTAGTAAAAGGATACAAAGAAAGGCCATTGACAAAATCCAACATTCCTTGTTGATAAGATGTCCTCGAGAGACTAAGGACACAAGGGACTTTCCTGAACAATAACGGCAGGTTACAGGACGCCCACCGCCAACAGCAATCTTTAAAAATATTAAAAACTAAATAGTAAATGATCCAACAATTTTACTTTTGTCACATTTTATTTTTGTCACATTGTTACATTCATAGTCACAGCAATTTTATGACAGCTAAAATGTGGAATCCACCCATGTGTGCAGGCTGTGAGTGGATAAGCAACCTTTAGGCTATGTAAACAGTGGGGTGTTGTGAGATTTACAAAGGAATTCTGACATGTGTGATAATACAAATGAACCCTGAAGATTTTATCAGTAAAATATACCATCCCAAGAAAACAAATATTACACATGAGGTAATTAAGTCATAAACTGTAGAGATGAGAAATAAAATAATATTTGCCAGAGACTGTAGGTGGGTAGAAAATAGAGAGATGGTGAATATTTGTGGCACTGTGGTTGTGTTTGTTTTGACACCTTTAGGACAAGCTTTCACTACAATGCCCAAACTACTTTTTAAAGGCTTAAACACATATAATCCTCCTGTCTCAGTTCCTTAGTCTCGGCCTACCTAGGAGTTACAACTATAGGTACATGCCACCTAGCTTTCCCACTGAGGAGCCAATGAATTAAAACCTTTGGTCTGGCAAAGTGAAGAGCTACAGATAACTAGTAACGGACGTGGACATGGCTGCCCAGCATGTGAGTGTAGGGAACACTGTGAAACTACACATTTAAAAATGACTAAACTCCAGGACTGCTGGCATGTGCACGGAATCTAGTATCTGATTCCATCGAGATTGAAGTGAATCTAGATTGAGGCAGGATGGTCTTGGATTTCAGGACAGCCTGAGACACATAGTAGGACCCTGTCTCAAAAACACAGATTGCTGACCAGGGCACAGTGGCACAGAGGCAGAAACAACCCAATGGAAGTTCAAGGGCATCCTCAGCCATATAATGAGTTAGAAACCAGCCTAGACTGTACAAGATCCTGTCTTAAACAATAATAAAAATATAGTTAAGAAGACTTTTTATGTGCACTTTACCACAACGAAAAGTCTTTTAAAATGTAAACAAATGTGTCAGTAGTTTATACTCTTAGGCCTCACAAAGAAAAGGAAAGCAAATCCTGTGCGTCTCAAAAAAAAAAAAAAAAAAAAAAGTCTACAACATGGCAAACTTTTTTAAAACTCCAGAGCTACAGAGAGCACACCTTGGCTGAGTTTACTGCTACTGGTCTGGGTATTAAAACACAAAAGAAAGATAAAGTCTTGTTTCCTTCCAAGGCATCTTCAGTGTGCTACTGCTTGAAAAAGAATGTATTAGTTAGAGCCTCTTCTGCTACTTTGTATAGAAAGGGCTGGGCCTAGAGATTATCCTTGTCTTTGTTCAGAAATAATAAGTTCATCAAAAAGAAATCCTTACCACTCTGCCTTGATATCAGATCAAATATTAAACACTCCTCAGGGCCCACCCAGCAGCCCACTGCAACTTTACAATGGCCAGCCTCCAGTGAAGGGGTTAATTCTTCTATAATGTTGTCTTTTCTGAGAGACATGAAATACCCACTTGAGATTGTTTATTTCCCTTGCAGTCAGGTCACAAACTGTTCTCTAGAATGAATCATTCAGGGGCGTTTACCCTACACATACCACAGAGAACGCCGTCTAGCTCCCCTTGAAAACTCACATGCGGTATATGGAGCCGTGGCTTACCTATTCTCTTCCCTGCTGCTGCATTACTTCCACTCATTCCAATACCACGGGCAGACTACAATTAAAACACAGAACACCTGCTGAGGTGAGTCAATGCAGAACAGGTCACAGGGCATCAAATACCTTAGTATTCTATTACTAAAATGCAGACAGGTACCCAGTGTAGATTATGTGCTCTATTTTTGTTTAAATTCACTTGAAATCTAATCTTACTTCTTGTGCTTATTATTTATCTGTAAAAGAATAAAATTTGGTGGCTTAGGTAAGAGTCTGGATACTGGAAAAAGCCTTAATGAAACTATGTAAAACTGAAAACTACAGAGTAATAGTGAACACAGCAGTGATGCCTGTAATTCCAGCACTCAGGAGCTAAAAGCAGGACCAGAATTCGAGGTCATCCTCGAAGTCTCAGGCCAACCTGAGCTACATGAGAACCTGTCTCAAAATATGAAAAAACAAAAAACAAGCATCAAATAGATTTCCTACATGTTAGATAAGTATTTTAGTGAAATTTATGGGAAAACAATTCAATTGTAAGCATTTTTATTTATATAAATAAAACTCTAACTTTGAAATAGTCATTCCATACACAACTAACTAGAAGAACAAATTGAAAAGAGAATACTTACTAGAAAAAAATCTGTAGGTTCTGACTGGGGAGAACTTTTCCTAATGTTTTCATCCTGAAAATGCTGGAAGTTTGTAGACAACCCAATTCCAGAGGACCGAAGCCTGCCTGCCCCACGTGTGCCCTGCAAACTGTCTCTGCTTGCACTCCGAGCCAGTGAAGCCAAAAAGCCACTATTGTTTACACAACCAACAGGCTCTTTGGAAGCTTTGTTAGCCATTTCTGTAATATCTCGGGCTTCCACTTTAGAAATAACGTCAGATCTTTTTCCAGGCGAATCGACTTTAACACCACGAAAGCGAGCAGTCCTAGAGAAAGAAGAATCTGCTATGGTTCGAATGTCCAATTCCCGCAGGGTGTTTTGTGAAGTAGACGCTGAGGGGTTGCCTGGCTCAAAACACTTCGACTGTCTCTGTGGCTTCACCAGAGAATTATGTAGTGACACTGGTGCAGCACAGAGAAGAGGTGACAGGAGTCTGTTCTTGTGAGAGCTTGGCTCTCGGTGGTTAAGAACTGCATTGTCTCCTGGGTCACTGCTCAGCACTCTTGCCACGTGGCTCAGAGGCTGCTCCGCTGCCCTCAGTCCTCCATCACTTTTAGTGAGTGGGAACTCTGGCGTTACCTTCCCTAACCCTTCTACACCACTGCTCTGCTCGGCACCATTTCCTTCTGCAAATGGAGCAAAAGCACCTACTTCTGGCAGGAGCAACTCGTCAGCTCCACACTCTTCTGACCGTGGAAATAAGACAACATCATCCTCGTTATTAGATGACAAGTTTCCTGAAAGGTGCTTGGTCCGCCTACGCAGGGATGATCCAAAATGAAGAACAGAATCTGCAAGCTCTTTGTCATTTTCCAGTTCTATATGGGTCAACTGAGGAAGCAGCCTGATACTACTCGTGGAGTGAGAGAGCATGTTAATCTCCCAGTTATCATCATCCTTCAGCATCTCATTCCTGAGAGATGACACTGGTCTATCAGCAGGGGCCTGAGCTGCAGGACTTGTGCCTGCATTCCTGGATGTTTCAGGGAGATATGCATTCCCAGAAGGTAAACAAGACTGCCCAATATGAGGGAGGACTCTTAGCAATCTGTGCCGGGCTGCTGCTGTAGAACTGCTGGACGGCCGAGGAGCTATAGGTGGGCGAGGTTTTACCTTGACAACTTTCTTAGGCTACAAGAAAAGAGTGCACATGTAATTCCTCAACATAGTTATTTCTGTCCATCAGCAATAATCAGTGGAGAAAATGTTACTTACCATATTGCCATTCTGTTACCTCAATTTACAGTGCTCAAAAAAGCTGGGTGTGGTGTCACACCTGTAATGCTAGCACCTGGGAGGCTGAAGCAAGATGTCTGTCATAAGTTTGAGGCCAGCCTGTCTGGTTTACAGAATCCATTCCATGCCAGCCAAGGCCACAAGATGAGTCCTCTTCTCAATACAAAACAACAATGAAATGCTTTAAAATATTAAAAGTCTTAAGATTATGATTGAGAAGGATTTGTTATATTATTTTATTGAGCATAATTTTCCAAAGATGTTAAAGAAAAATGATTTTGTTTTATTTTCCTCACAACTAATTCTTTCCAAGGCTTTTGTTGTCTTGTGTGTGTTGGTTATGTGTGTTACATGTGTTGTGTGTGTTGGTTATGGGATGCATACAGCATTCTTCCTAGTAAGCTGGCTGTGTAGATGTGTGGGACTCAGGAAAAAGCTAACTAGACTGAAGTGTGACTTGTAAAGGCTGTCCTGACCCTTCAATGGTTTCTGTGGACCTATATTTCAGGGTTCCCACCCTTACCCTTACCCGTCACAGTAGTAATTGTGCCTCAGCTACTTCTGCAACCAAAGTGGTTTATACTGAATATCTCCTTTTCTTCTGAGTCTGAAATGTACACATACATACCTGGCAGAGGGTGCATATAGCAAAAAGAAAAAAAATCCTTTTTCTAAAATGGAAAAGAATCCCTCATGCACAGTTGCTAACAGAGTCCCCTGAGATGAGATTTCACATGTTATCACAGTTTCTGACACAGAACTCAAGCCTGACTTGTGTTGACATTGGGAGTAGCTTCTACGACGCCTGTGCCTGCTTTGCCTGGATTTGGATCCGTTTGCTTTTCCCTCTGTTAATTTTGCTTTTGCTTCCTTTTGCCATGCTAAGTGTCTTTGTTTACAGTACAACTGCAAACTATATACATGCACCTAAAGAGTCAGTGAACCAAGGACTGGATGTGCCCTCCCCTCCTCCGACACAACGTTTACATACAAGTTATCACAGAAAGGGTGAAGGTGAGAGTTCAAGAGAGGAGTCTTAGCTCTTAAGCACAGGGATGGTCAGCAGAGGCAGGGTGGAAGTCTGCTGACACTCTGGCAGCCTGGCCTGTAAGAAATACACACTGAAAACTCAGTGGGTCCAGTAGAAAAAGCACTGCTGCAGCAGCTGCACAGGATGGAAGGAAGACCCTCGAAAAGTGAGCTGGCTCTTGCAGCCACTCTTACTCTGAAGTCATTGTCTTGCCAATCTACAGCTATATATTTATAAAAAATATTTTTTTAAAAAAAATAAGATTCTTTTCTAGACCTTAGAAATCAAAAATAGTTGCCAAAATCTAAATAGCAACATACCCTCCCAAATAAACACATAGACATCCAAAGAGTTCAACAATACAAGCAAATGAAATTACCCATGAACCAAATTGTCAACAAACAAGGAGGCAAAGAATGCAAAGTTCTAATTAACGTAAGGTTTAAAACATTCAGCTGTTGAAGGCTCATATGCAAAGCTGATATCTGTGGTAATGAGCGAGGATGTAGAGCTTCAAAACAAAGAGAGGTAGGACATCCTAGGGAGGACAGAACCAAAGTAAAACTCCTACCTGTATAAAACTAAAAAATGTCTTCTAATAGCTGGGATACCAGAATGGGCAAGTTGAAGCCAAAAGGAAACAACCCGAAGTTATGCTAAAAATTAAAATTTTAAGGAGGCTCTACTGTGCAGAGAGGGGTAAATTAGAAGGAAGAAGAATCCATTTAAAAACGTTTTACTGAAGGTAAGTAAGGAAGCATGAAAAGAAAAGCTAGGACCCTAAAGAAAAAATGCATAAATCACAGAATCAGAAAATCCACCTACTCTCCCCTGCAATGGGAGTGATTAAAAACCAAACACACAAAAAAGCACCCTTGAAATAAGTTACCTCCTATATACCACCCTTACTCTGTGTATTATAGCCCATGACTCTTAATGCTTACCCTAATAACATTATAAGAAAAAGAACAGAAAAGGAGGTAACATACCCATATCAGAATAAAACAGAAAGTGAGAGAGAATCAGAACATTTTAGCACATACAAATTCTCCCTTGATACAACATAGCAAAAAAAACAAAAACAAAAAAAAAAAAAACAAAAAAAAAACAAAAAAAACCCTTTACAGCAGTATTCCAATCTGAATTAAATATCTTTACATTAATATTTGTATCTTTTGTTTATTAATGTGCATGGTATATGTGCATACTGGTATATGTGCAAGTACAGGTGTGTGCATGCATGTAGAGGTTAGAAGTGGATATAGGGGTCTTCCTTAATTGTTGTCTTCCTTACTTTTGGGGACAGCATCTCTTTCTGAACATGGAGCTCACTAATTACATTATACTGACTGGCCAGTGAGCTCTAGAGATCAGGATCTGCCTGTCTCAGCTGGTGTTACAGATGCAGGCCATGGTGTCTGGTTCTTTATGTGGGTTATGCAGATCTGAACCCAGGTCCTCATGATTGCATGGTGGGTACTTGAGCCAGTGAGAAATCTCCCCAGCCTGTTTGATTTGGAGAGAGGGTGAGTCAAGCCTGGCCTAGAAATTGTGGATCTTCCTGCTTTAGCCCCTGCACTGTGAGGATTACAGAAGCCTGATATCATGCTCAGCTTTTACAGATAATACTTGAAGAATACATCAACTCATGACCTCAACCAAGAAAAAATGAACCAAAAAACTGTAAGCTAGCCAAGCTTAGAAATAATTAGAAAAAAAATTCAGAATGAAAATTAAACCATAAGATGCCCAAAGAAAATCAGATTCAAGGAGACATTTAATCAACAGTGCTAAGAAAAGGTATAAAAATATCCAAAAGAATGAAAATAAAACAAAGAATTTTAGAAGATAACAGAACATAGTTACTATAAAATAAAGTTCTAACATATATAAAGGAAGTTCACTACAAACAAAATGAAATAAAAAGGTAAACATAAAATTAACAAGTTACAAAAAATACTGAAGTACTCTGTTTTAAAAAAAAACAAACCATAAGGATACATGAAATTGACCCCAAACAGCTAATTTCTAAGTCATACATATACTTTAAAGACAAAAGCCAGGGCTGGAGATGTAGCTTAGGGTACAGTGCTTGCCTGGCCTGCTTGAGACCCAACTAGGGGACTGAAAGGGAAGGAGCATAAGAGGAGGGCACGAGCCGACAGAACCTGCTAACACACACATGGGGTCTCAGCACTCAGTAGAGTGAGGCCCAAAGATCGAAATTTTAAAGCCACTCAGGGTACATAGCAAAAACTCAACTGAAAAAATAAAATTGAATATGAGGGGTGTGGTGGTCTGAGTAAGAATGGCTCCCATAGGTTCACAGATTTAAATGCTTAGAGGGTGGCCCTATTAGGAGATGTGGCATCCTTGCAGTAGGTGTGGCCTTGTTGTAGGTGTGGCCTTGTTGGAGCCCACTGAGGGAAAGCTCTGAGGTTTTAAAAGCTCAAGTTAGATCCAGTGTTACACCCTCTTCCTGCTGCCTACTGATCCAGATATAGAACTCTCAACTTCTCCAGCACCATGTCTGCCTCTGTGGCACCGCGCTCTCTTCCATGATGATGATAATGGACTAAACCCCAGGAAACTGTAAGCCAGCCCCAATTAAACGCTTTCTTTTTTAAGAGTTGTCATGGTCATGGTGTCTCTTCACAGTGATGGAACACTGACTAAGACAGGGACAAATATAACATTATTTAAATGAAGTAATTTACAAAGAAAAGTGGAGTGTAGTGGTGAGATGCCTTTTCAACCACAGTATAAAAAGGAAAGCAGCTGCAGAACAGTGTTAAAGCCTAAATCTTTCCTATCTGAATAACCCATCACTTGACAAGCCAGAGAAATGATCCTCAAAGTACTGTTAAATTATCACTTGTTTTTTCCCTTAAGTTTTAGAGTTCTGAAAATTCAGTATTTACAAATCTAACCTTTCCTTTTCTTTCCTTGGAATTTATTAAGATATGCAACTAACAAAAAGGTATGGGGAAAGTTTAGCAAAAAGTCTCTTAGCAGTAATGGCATTAACACTAAAACATCAGTAGGGATATGGATAGGAAAATTATTTATGTTCCATTTTCTTTAAAAGTAGGACTGCTGTTCATATAAACAATGAGACAGAATAGAGAAAAGAGAAAACCAACTAAGTTTTCTGACTGTCGCTTAGCTAGCATGCAGGAGGCAAAAGGGGTCAGGTCTGGGGCTGACATCAGAAAAGCGAATGGTGAAGACGAAGTCCAGAAGCTGGGGGGTGGTGGTGGTTCACACTTTTAAGAAATACTTCTGTGAGTTTGAGGCCAGCCTGGTCTACAGAACCCAAGACAGCCAGGACTACACAGAGAAACCCTGTCTCAAAAAAAAAAAAAAAAAAAAAAAAAAAAAAAAAAAAAAAAAAAAAAAACCAATAAAACCAACCAACCAACCAACCAACCAAACAGCAAACAGTCCAGGACAGCAAGCATCACTCCCTGACCTTTATGATTAGCACAAAACTGCTACAGATATTTGTCAAATCACATAGCAAATGCTCCCTTAAGATGAACAGAAATCTGTCATGGGTTTTCATGGATCATGGGTCTTATTCCAGAAGAAATCAAACTGATAAAAAAAAAAAAAGGGAATCATCTCATCTCTAAGCAACCAATCAATAGGGTAGTCCTTATACATAGATACCTGTCAAACTTTTACTCTGAAGTTAAGAGAATTAACTATCTTTTGAATATATATTGGACATACATGGAAAATATCAGATCTCTAATAATTAAATTCTAAACATCAGAACTGTAGATAATATTGTCTGATTTCCATGCAATAAAACTAAAAAACACAATGAAAAGTCAAAAAAACTTCAGCCACCAAAACTCACCTAAATCTACTCAACCACTTTGGGGCTAACAAGGAAATTCTAATCTAATACACCTTTGTGTGACATTTCTATCAAAGCAGTGTAAACTATATCTAATCATAGTGTAATTCAGACGAATCAAAACTGAGAGATAACTTACAAAATGATGGACTTATACTCCTCAAAATATCTAATATGACCGTCACTTGTGTACCCAATTGCTGAGCCCACCAGATTCCAGTGGACAAGTCCAAATTCAAGGGGCCTTGACAGCTCCAATTAGACTCAGGAGTTATAACATAAAACAGACACAGAGGAGGAGGGAGACTGGACAGGAATGGTATGGAAATAAGGAAGGGTTACTATGCATCATGTACATGTGCCAAATTATCACACACACACACGCACGAAGCCAAAGTCTTAAAGAGGTATTTGTACCCATGGCATTCACAAGTCCACTGAGAGGTGAATGAATGAACAAAACATGGTACATACATGCAGTCTAAAAAGAAAGGAGATTCTGACATGTGCTGTACCATGGATGAACCTCAGAGATGTCATACTATTTAAATAATCTAGCCACATACACTCTATTTCCCTTATGCATGCTATCTACAGTAGACAAATTCATGGAAATGGGAAATGGACGAGATTAAAGGGAGGGGTACTAAGAAGCTGGTCTTAAGGAATACCAAAATTCTGTTTTGGAAGACAAAGTTCTGAAGACTAACTGAACTAAGATGAAAACATACTTATTAACACCACTAACAGGGTTACATATGGACACAATTAAAGCTCACATGGCTGCACATTTCTGTAGTACTGACAGATAGGAGATAGAAGAGATTTATGAGTTCAAGACCAGCCTTAACTGCACAGTGGGTTTGGGGCTAGCCTAGGCTATGTGAGACTCTGTCAACTAAATAAATAACTAAATAAGATGGATAGTAAATATTATATATTTTACCATTATGTAAAATAAAAATAACTTAAAACACTAAGTAGGTGATAATATCCTCTCTGTGGAATTCATTCAATCTTACTGTATGACAAAAGAAAATTAAAAATCACTTCCTTCAGATAAATAAAACTCCTAAGAAAAATATTTAGAAACAAAAAAGAAAACCATCATAACCAAGAGTGGGTCATGCCAACAATGCAAAAATTATTTCATATTCTTAAAAAGTCACTTAGCCTGCATTACCAGAATTGTTTTACCCAATGTGTAACCTATTTCAACTTCTCTTTCTATTTCTTGTTGACCTATGAGTTACTCAGAAGTGTTTTATTTTGAAATATCATATTTTTCAGGTATCTATTACTGATTTCCAGCTTTATTCTTTGTAAACCAGAGTTTTTTTGATTATTTTAATCTTTCTGAAATTTATTAGAATTTATTTTTGTATAAAATACTATATTTTGTTTTTTCTTTTCTTCCTTTTACTCTCTTTCTTTCTTTTTTTGATAAATGTTGTAATGTATTCCCTTAAAGAGTAATGTATATTCTGTTGTTGGGTGAAGCATTGTGCAGATGCCAACCGCATCAAGTGAGTTGATAATGGTCTTCAGGTCCTCTCAGAAACCTTTCCAATTCTCTGTTCTACCAGTTATGCTAAGAGTGGAAATCTTTGAAGATAAGCATGCATCTATTTCTTGTAGGTTTGCTTCATATATTTCACAGTTCTATTACTGCATATAAATAAAAATTATAACATAACTTTTTTGGTCAATTGTTCATCATATGATTTAAAAATAAGATCTTTACACATGCTTTTTTAAAAAAAATCAGATGAATTATAGATTTAAACTAGAAAGAAACAAATCACCTAAAGGTTTTGGAGAAAACCATAAAAGCTTATCTTCAAGACCTGTGATAGGAAAGTATGTCATAAAAAATTATTAAATACTAATCATAGAAGCATAACTGCTAAATTGTAATATGCTAAAATTAACAATACTCATCAAAAGTAGATGAAAGAGTATGCCATGGAGTATTGAAAACTACAAACCATCCATCTGACAGAGACCTTCTATCACACATAAATGTATATGTACTGGTTGCTTTTAGATGGGTCTCATGTCACCCAGACTATATTCAAGCATGCTACAATGAGGCTGACTCTGAACTCGGATGCTCCCGCCTTCACCTCCCAAGGCCAGGGATTACATGACTATGTAATCACACTCAGCTCCAAAGTACTCTTTTTAAATGTCTACAAACCAATAAAAGCAAGGTAACCTAATTTTAAAATGAGCAAAATATGTGGCAATGCAAAAAAAAATAAACAGAATTTTAACCAAATGAAGAGTGAACACTTTTTAAGTAAACACTTTTCATTATAAGAAAAATTAAGTAAAACCCAATACAGAATCCTAAGAATAGTTAAGATGAAAACAGTGATGACTTTAAGTGTTAGCAAGGACAGGGCACAAATCAGAGCTCTCTGTTATTGATGGAATCTGACCTGCTTGTAAACCTATGTAAACTATCACTATAACTTTTGTTTGTCAGTTTTGAGACAGGGTCTCACTACATAGCCTAAACTGGCATAGAATTTATTTAGGCAGGCTAAGCTAAAACTCATGATCTCCTCCCTACACCGCACAAAGGATGCTGTGATGCTCACAAGTACCTGGCTATATGGCATAAAACAGGTTATCTTTCCTGACTCTAAATTTTCTGTGAAGTATACAATCCAAAAAATAAAGTGCACATGTCAAAGAATGTATAGGCATACTCCAAGTGGTTTTGTTAATATAAAAGCCATAACTGAGACACCTGAATGCTTGCTTATCATAGAAAAGAGAAACAAAAAGGAGATTCACAGTGTAGTTTAAATAATATTTAAAATAAATTTAAAAGAATTTTTACATTTTATATTGAAGAAAATAAGCCAGAATTTATAAGAGGCTGTATTGTCTTGTTTCTATTTATATAAAGTTTCATAGCACACTTAGTTGTGGGAATGAATATATATATATTCATATTCTTTATTTTAGGAAAGATTATGAGTGATTTTTTTTTTTACAGAATTAGGCAGTGGAACAAGGTGTGGCTATGCATGCTTTTAATCCCAGCACTCAGAAGGCAGAGGCAGGAGAATCTCTGTGAGTTTGAGGCCAGCCTATAGAGTGAGTTCGAGGCCAGCCTATAGAGTGAGTTCCAGATCAGCGTGGCAAATACATTGAGAGCCAACCTCAAACAAACAACAGAAGAAAAGAAAAAAAGGGACTACTTTGAGTTATATCTAAATAAGTGCATTTAACTGTAAATTTTACTATTATTTTTTAGGGGGTGATTTGCCATGGCATGCATGGGGAGGTCAGAGGGCAGCTTTCAGAAGTCAGTTCTCTCCTCCTACCTTAATAGGGATTGGCCTTAAGGTTGCAGATTTTTTGTGGCAAGGGCCCTAACTTGCTGGTCCATCTGGCCAGGCTCCAAGCATTACTTTAAAAGTTTGTGTATTTTATATGGGTGGGGGCACTAACAGAGTGAAAGAAAGGAATAGTGCAGCTGTGTTGGATGGAAGAAAGAGCAGAAATGGGGAGAGAGACAGACTTATATCCAGAAACAAAAACAACTGTCAAGAATTTAGAAGACTGAAGTCACTTTGGGATTACTTTAGAAAACTTGCAGTGTCTAGTATCTACTGAAGCTAAACGGTAAATATCCTCTAGGCATGGTGGGAACACACCTAGAATCCAAACATTCAGGAGACTAAGGCAGAAGGATTGCTGGGAGTTCATGGCAGGTCTGGGCTATATGCTAAGCTCTGGACTGGCCTAGGCTGTGGTGTGCCTTTCTCAGTGTCCATAGATCTTGAAATCACATTTTAAAAGGTAATTATTTAAAGATTAAACTATTTTTAATACCCTTTCCATACTACAGCTATGACATTTTAAGGATGAATTATGCCAAATGTGTATAACCCTTTCAGATGTGTTACAAGACTAAAAATCTCAATATTCATTTGTCACATCTTAATAAAGAAGTTGAGGCCAGAAACATGAACTGAGTAATAGTTTATAGTTTTCCACAGTTGCCAGCAGACCTCAGCGCTGTGAGCCCTGCCAGTGTAAGCTAGAGAAACGCTTGACCAAGAGCCAACAGCTTCACCTTTTTGCTGAGATTCATGCTCTCCATCTTAGCCTTCAGCAGCTTCATCTTATTCATAGTTATTGAATTTTCAATGATCTGTTGCCCAGAAGGAGAAGGCTCAGCTTCTTCATCCTCATCTGTATACAAATTATACACAGAGCCACCACTGCAAGGGAAACGATAAGTACTTAAAACATGCTTGGTACCTGCCGAGCACTAAAAGTCCTTAGTACAGGAGCGACTACAGATCCTACCATGTGGGAATCACTAACTTTATTTTGTCATCGTAAATGAAAAAAAAATTTCAAAACATTTCTTTGCCCTAACTGGCCTCAAATGTGGTACCTAGCTGAGGATAGCCTTGCTCTCTTCTGATCCTCCTGCCTCCACTTTCTGATTGCTAGGATTACAGGAGCATGCCACCCATACCAAGTTTTATGTAGTTCAAAGGATTGAATTTTAGGGTGCTTTGTGTGGTAGGCAAGGGTGCTACATACTGAGCTACATATCCACCACATTCAAAACACATTTTGGGGGTTAGGGACACCGTTCAGTGGGTGAATTGCTTGCCTTGCAAACACAAGTACTCAAGTTTAGTTCCCAAAACCATAGTTTACTAACTGGCTTGTTTGTAACCTTAGCACAGGGAGGCAGGGATAGGCCCATACCTGAATCTCACTGGTCTACTGGTCGACCCTGCCCACAGAGCTTTAAGCCAATGAAAGACTCTATTTCAAAAAGGAGGGTGGACAGCTCCTGAAGAACAAACCTGAGGTCTACTTGTGGTTTCTGCATGCAAGGGCAAACATAAACCTACATTAACACACAAGTACACACATTGCACAGACACGCGCACACATTTCTCAGGACAAAGCAACTGGGAAAGCGCTGCAACACTACTTAACACTGCTGAAAATCAAGAACAGCTGAGCTGCTCCAAGGTCACTGCAGTGCATGGACAGCACTGCTGGCACTGCTCGGGCTGTTCTCTATCAGTTACTCCTCACAAACTGTTTCTTTACCAAAACATACAAGGTAGATGTTATGTCCCCTTTTATAAATGGAAAACTGCAAGAAAGAAGTTAAGTGATGGCCCAGGGTTCAGGGGGGAAAGGAGCTTGCCACTAATCATGATTACCTGAGGTCAATCCCAAGCACTCATGGGAAAGAGAAAGTTGTCTTTTATCTCCAGAAGTGGGCAGTGGTATGCACATCCCCACCCCAGCACTAATGAATGCAATGAAAACAGTTAAAGCCCATCATGGTGATGCAACCTTTAATCCCAGCACTCAGGAGGCAGAAGCAGGTGGATCTCTGTACGTTTGAGGCCAGGCTAGCACATATAGTGAACTCAAAGCCGGCCATGGGTACAAAGTGAGACCCTGTCTAAAAAAGAAAAAAAACTTAATGTTTTAAAAATAATATTTCTATTTATTCTTTGTATTTCCATGTATTTTGATTCTTTTCATTACTCTCCCCCAACTCCTCCCAGATCCTAACTTGCCTCCCTGTGCATCCCACTTCATGTTCTCCCGCTTTCAAAAAACAAACAATAAAAGCCATTGAGTGCAGTTGTGTTAGCCTACCCGGGAGTGTGGTTAATACTGTCACTACATTGAAGAAAATGAATTTTCCCTCTCCCAGAAGCTATCTGATGTGAATAACTCCACAGCTAGGGGTGAGTCTTCTAAATGAAATGCACATATCTAAAGCTTAAAGGCTAACACTCACGTATGAGGGAGACCATACAGTGTTTGTCCTTCTGGGTCCAGGTTACCTGACTCAGAATGGTTCCAGTCTCATCCATTCATCTGAAAATTTCATAACTTCATTTTTGTTAACAAATGATTAATATTCCACTCTATACGTGTATCACATTGTCATTGTCCATTGGTGGACATCTAGACTGCTTCCAATTGCAAGCTATTACACAAAAATCAGTGACTGTCAAAGAGCAAGGTTCTCTGTAGTAATGTATACGCTCAAGAGCTGTACAGCTGGATTTTGTGAGGAAGCTGTTTTCAGCTTTTGATTAGCCTCCACATGACTTATTTCATAGTGTTTGTACTAATTTGCATGCTTACAAGATGCAAAGATGTGTTCCCTTCTCCTGCTTCTGCTGTTACTTATTTTGTTAATCTTGATCATTCCAACCTGGCTAAGACGAAATCTCACTTTAGGTTTGTGCTCCCTGATGGCTAAGGATGGTGAACACTTTTCAAAGTGTTTTCAACCATCTGTGATTCATCTTTTGAGAACTCTTTTTAGATCCATACCCCATTTTAACTGCAGTTTTCTAAACATTTGGAGTTGTTTTTTTCCTCCTACAACTTTCCTGTGTGAAACTGGTAAAGAGTTCCCTCTCCTGTGGGCTGCCCTTCACACAGTGTCCTCTGCTGTGCAGAGGCTTTGTTAATGGAGTTCCGTTTGTTTACTCTCTCATCTTAATGCCTGTGCTATAAGGGTCTGGTTCGAAAAGCCCTTTCCTGTGCCTTTATGTTCAATCTTGTTCCCCTTTTTCTTCTCTCAGGTTCACAATAGCAGGTCTTATATTTAGGTTCTTGGTCCACTTGAAACCCATCTTTGTACAAGTTAAGAGAGAAAAATGCAGTTTTATCATCTGACATACAACTATGCAGTTTTACCAGCAAAGTTGTTGAAGATACTCTCTTCACCAATGTGTATTTTTTGCTTCATTATAAAAATAAACTGTCCTTGGATCTCTGGAGGTCTTAAATTCTATTCTATTGATCAATGCCTCTTTTATAATTGAAAGTATTTTGTATGAATACAGGTGTTCTTGCTGAATGTCTGTCTGTGCACCACATGCATACAGTATCCTTCGAGGCCTAATGAAAATGATAAATCAGCATCCTGCAGAAAAAAAACACAAACATGCCCTCTTCCCTATATTAAACACCTGATCTGGATCATGCCATATGCCACTAAGTGGAACCTTTCCTTTCACCTATGCATAAGTATGCCTAGTAATAGAGTGCCATAGACACTCAGCAGAAAGTTCCTTGGCATCCAAATTTTTTTAAAAAAAAATTTAAATAAAAAGAACATAATTAAATGAATTTGTGGTGCATAGGAATATAGCTCCACCATTGTTATTTTATGAAAATATTATTTTAAAGTTCTATGGGCCCCTGCCACAGTCCTTTGTCCTTCACAATTAATTATAAGGAATTTCAGTAATATGGGTAATATTAATTTGCTGCCAAAAGGTCTAAAATGCTCAACTTCAATAGCCAGTTCCATTATATGTTTTATTATTAGATAATTTATTTATCTACATTTTAGATGTCATCGCCTTACCCCATTCCCCCCCCACAAGAAACCCCTTATCCCATCCTCCCTTCTCCTATTTCTGTGAGGGTATGCCCCCACTCATCCACCCACTCCCACCTCCCCACCCTCGAATTCCCCTTCACTGGGACATCCAGCCTTCAAGGGACCAAGGCCCTCCTCTCTCACTGATGCTTGACAAAGCCATCCTCCACTACATATACAGCTGGAGCCATTGGTCCCTCCATGTGGGTTCCCAGGCTAGGTGTTTAGAACCTGAAGTTCTGGTTGCTGAGTGCCCAGACAATGGTGTATTAAACATATGTTTCCAACCCACCTTTGCTTACCTATACCCCAGATGGGACAAGCTGCCTTGCCTCAAGTTTTTACACCTTGTAGAACAGAGAATCAAAAAGAGAAGTTATAATGACACTTGTATTTTTCTTATATTGGAAATAATAGTCTTCATTTGGAAGACTGGTTCTGGACATTTTCAGAGACATATTTGGAAGTTAGCTGCAGTTCTCTATGATGTTACACTAGCAAGAGATAAAGTTGGGACAGGATTTAGATTTCAAACAAGTGTTAGTACATGTGTTAAGGCTCTTTTAATTGTCAAGTTAAAATACTCTTGTTTCTTCTACAATATTTAATGTAAGTTGCATTGATGTATATATTCTAATTGTGTTAATGTGTTGAAACCCGGCATGTCTGTTATGGAGGTCTATCAACCAGCTTCTGTTTTATTGCACTGAGTATCAGAGAACCTTGGGATTCTGAAAAAAGCTTGCAAGTACTGGAAGAAATGAGTCAGGCTTTAAGCAGAAGCAAGAGGGTAATGGGCTTGATTATTGCTGGCATAACAGCTTTAATTACATTAATTGCTAGCACCACTGCTTCTGCAATTGCTTTGATACAAGAAGTTAGGACAGCTACTTTTGTAAATCATTTAGCAAAAAAAATATTACTAATGTGTTGAATATACTAGAGGATTTAGATAGGCATTTGGAACAACAGATTGATACTTTTTATCCTATTCAAATTATTGGAAGGAGGTTCAGAGTTTAAGAGTAAGGAGCCATCTCAAGTGTCATGACAAATACCATTGGATTCATATTAATTCTAAAATTTACAGTGATAGTCATTATAATTAGGAAAAAGTTTAAA